TTTTTTTTTTGAAAAACCACCAAGCCAAGCTTAATCATGTAATTAAAATTGTCAATTTGGACTTATTAATACATTTTTCTGGAATTACTGAAATTTGATTATTATTCTTCATTACTTAAATATTCCAATTAAAATACTTCTCAAACCTGTTCTTAAATTTATTAAAAAAAGAAAGAATTTTGAAGTTTAAAAAATCTGCAAAAAAAGACTTAATGTGTAAAAGTATTAAAAATTGTACAAATATTAATTTTCATTCGAAACTTATTGTACTTTGTCGTCGTAAAATAAGACTGAAAGGCAATAACACTGACACCGTCAATAATGACAAGCTACAGTTAAAACGAATTAACCAAATTAGAACTAGAAATCGTTTCACTCAGAATCAACCACCGCATTTCAGAATCAAAATCTCGCGTTCATTGTATTCAGAATTGCAGCCAAGCCGCAAACCTGGTATTTCTGTTCCGATTTTGGGCTTATCGGCCGCCTTGAAATGAAATTGATTGCGTGTTGCAGGATGAAACCGCTCAAACACCGAGGAAATTCGCGTGGCCGCGCAATGAAAACACCTCGGGCGGAAACGCGCCGATTGAATTACATCGCGCGGATGTAATAGCGGATACTTGAGCGTGAGCAATTAATGCTTTGCAGTCGTCGGTCATTAACAAAGCAAAACGCGATTTTATTTTTCGAGAGTCGTTGATCCTCCAATTCTTCGGTTAATCGTACTTTTCTCGAAAAGATTGGGTCGTTCTGACAAGTTTCAAAAAATTAAATTGCTTTTTCTTTAACATTAGAAGTTACTTTTGAATACTGGTATTTTTGTTATTTATTATTTATTATATTTTATTACTTTTTATTATTTATTATTTATTATATTCATTTATTAATAATAATGATGTGATTATTAATGTGAAGTGTATAATTTATTTAGACAAAAATATGATTCTATGTGCTTGTTTATGATATGTTAATTTTTATTAAAGATTGCGTTGTGTTATCTCGAGGTGTATAAACATGTGTCAGTAGAAAAAAATATGGAAGCATCGGCCGATCAAATGGATACGTTGCTTGGTCGATTGATCGATACGTGAGGAGTATCGCTTCGGAATCTCTGCACGTGATTGCGCTATAAGGCAGTTTGAAATAATTTTCGTCGAACGACGGACTAGCCGTCTCGAATTTATGGCAGTGGAAAGCAACGCGACCGGTCGGACGTGCGGTCGTCTCGGTCGAACGAACTTTATGACGGGATTTCAGATTCGATACGCGTCATAGATGCTGCTATTTTTCTACCACAATCCGCGACAACTTAAAGAGTTTTCTTTTACTCACTTACTTTATTTCTATAGAATTATAACCAGACTCCGCAATTATTAGAATAAATTTTTCCTTTCGGACGATAACTTCGAATTTTATATTTTAAAAGATTTCTTCACTTTTTTGCTCTCAATTCTTTACGCTTAAAGTCATTTGCTTGAAAAGCCCGAGATTTTTCGATTGGAACTTATTGACTATCATTTTCTCAGAATTGGAGATTTGGAAGAATCCGCAAGTGTTTCAAATTCTAATGAAATAATTCGCGATTTCTAGCGTAATTCAATGTAACGAGTTATTATTCTAATCAATAATTCTTCACGATGACTTTTTTCTTCAATGATAATTTGACTCAACAGAAGTTGCAAACACAATGAAAAAAAGGAAAGGAATGAATATCATGGAAAAAACAAACAAAACAATTTTGATCGAAGAACGGTAACAGAGATTAACGCAAATCCACTTTTGTCTGCGTATATATATTTTCATAAAACGAGAGAGAGAGAGAGAGAGAGAGAGCACGACGAAATGTATGCACGACCCCGTTATTCAGAGCTCGGCGCAACGATCCTCGATACACATATAGTTAACCATGCTGGCGAGTATGGTAACATCGATAAACTAACAACACGGGAGCGCCTCTCGTTTGGTTAAACCACCATAAATCCATGCAACTCGTCACTATCTGCTAACTGGTTCGGTCCACGCTGCCAGCCGCGATATTCATCTATCACGTGGCACCTGACACACGTTTGTCACCTGACGTCACCTTTACACCGCTAGCTATCGTTCGTATTCGCCTCTGTGAAATTTAAACGTTATTTTCTCGGTGACGAGCTCTCGATCGACGACAGTTACGGCTGTCCCTCAACGAATTCATTCTTATTCGTTATTATTTTGACAAGAACTTTGTATGTTTTAGTATATCGTCTTTCGAGATGTGTCTTCGTTGGTTATTATCGAGACGTTTCGTGGATCCTGTCATTTCGTAATCGTCTCAAAATGGATTTCTCTTTGAGCACGATTAACTGATTGACTGCAATGTTCATTCACGCATTAATACATTAAAATAAATAATAACTTTGCATAGAAAATTTTTAAATCTAAATTTCTGTCTATGTTTTACACTAAATTTCTAATTCCTTACAAAAACTAACGTCTCAATTAATCTTCGATTTTCCTAAACGCTGTACGAGAATGTTCTTTGGATATTTCTTGGTATATTTCTGTATTTTCCAATTTCCAACAAACGCACGTATAATCCATAGTCTACTGATTCAAATCTACAAACTGTCTCAATCTGTCCACGCTCTGTCAGTCTCAACTGCCCTCGAAGCAAAAAAAAAAAAAAAAAAAAAGGAACGACTTACTCTGCGGTCGAGGGGCGGGAGATCGAAATAACAAAGGCTCGACTTGAAAATTCTAACGTCGGCCGGGGAGAGCCAAACTCCGCTGACGAGGTTCACGAAAGGTGACGCGAAAAAGCACTCTTAACAGCGGGAGCCAAGTGAAATTACATAGAAAGTCTATCAGTAGACGGATATTACGGTTCTCCCCGGTGGGAGAGAACTTTATCGCCGACTCACGCTCGGATAATCGCGCGTCTCTTGCCGCTACCTACGAATCAATCCGGCAATTAAGGGACGTTTTGTCGCGGCGCTCCAGCCCGATTCGTGGGCTTTATCGAATTCATCGGCTTCGCTTGGCACGCCGCGCAGGAAATCGCAGCTGCATAAAGCGTTCAATCATGCCACGCCGCGCGATAGGGTTTTATCGATTGCCAGACGGCGTGCGTCTTTTTTGCATCGGCGTGCTCTATCGCTCGCCAGCGATGTTATTAAAAATATCGTTTGGAAATCCAACGACGCAGCTACTCACCGATAAACTATTTCGCTCAGGGTTAGGCGAGGGGACAAAAGGGATCTTTAAATAGGAAATTTCTGTTCTGGAGGCCTCGTATCCTTTTTTTTCTTTCCCGTGGGTTTTTCGTTTAGTGATCATGGTTTTCGTTAAAGGTTGTAACGTGAAACGAGAGAGGAAGATTGTTAATGAGGAGGTTTAATTACTATTTAATAACTCTGGCAAGGTTTAATTTAATCTTTCGCTGTAGTTCGTGAAGAATTCTCGTTAATTACTTTAGCATGTAACATTCGTTGATTTTTGAGCAAGGATAGTAAGATAAGTGATGGATTTTTTTTTTTAGTATCAATTGAAAATGTTCTAGATTAGCGACACGAATTAATCAGATTTTCGAAATTAATTGAAGAATATTTGCATGTACGTTGTTTGTCGTCGAGTTAAATTTAATAAACCGTACCGATGAAGCTTCGTGTTTTTTTTTCTTTCTTTCTTAAAAATAACAGACGCTTATCGATATGTTCCGAGCGGTGATTTGCGTTTAATTATAACGCATTGGGCGCCGAGGACAGGCCTTTGTCGGCGTAATTGCGATCAATCAATGAAACAGATCGCGAAAGTAAACTTAATGCGATTATTCAACGTTCCTCGATTGCAGTTAACATCCAACAATGCTCGATCAATCGAAACTGTCACGTCGAATCTTTTAATAATGTCAGATTTTTTTATTCGATTCAATTCCATTCGATTCGAGTGGATTCATTTATAAATGAAAAAAAAAAAAGAAACGGAACGATTGTTTAAAATTACGGTTCTCTGAGCACGATACGTCGTTGGCAAATTCTCAATTGCCATTATACTGGCTAATAATTAATTTATTTTAACTCTCTCGAGAAACAGCGGCGCACATGTGTACGCTCGCAAACAACATACTACCTACTAGATATTCCAGAATAAATGTGTCTAGAAATGAGAAAACGATCCTGAAGAATTTTTCTGTTAAACGTAATTTGACAATACCTTCACAGAAAGTCGAACAGTAAAAAATAGAAATCAATCTACGCGAAGATCATCAAACGTAGTCGAATCAACGAAGTTAAATTTAACGTGTGCGAATAATAAAACTGAGAAGAAAGAGATTGATTTTTTTGCAAGAAATCCACACAACGATCCGAGTACTTACTTCGCAGCATCGAGCTTCAAACCTACGCTAGTAAGCAGGACTTTCGATCTACCATTGCGGAGAAAATTAACGCGGTCCAAGTCGAGGAAATATCTCTGACAGTCGTGGGAGACTTTCACGAGCTCGTGAGGGGAACGTTCTC